TATATATATATATATCATACATTACATATACATTCTGTCAAGACGTTATTTACTGAGTGTAAAAAACAACACAAAAAACCCCGAAGGCATCAAACAATAATTAAGTGGACATCGAAACGAAATAATATCGAGGGACAACATCAAATAGGAGGGTTTGGACGCGTAAAGAGAATGGGGCCACAACAACCAGCCTCAATAAATGTCTACAACATGCGATTCGATGTCTTAACGGGAGATGTACATGATACGAGGAAAATGTTAGAGATTGACTTTCCTTCAATTGTTAAATGTGATATAGGTTAATTGTTGACTAATTAGAAGAATTATGACGGAATTTTTTAAAGTTTTATTAAAAAGTTGGTCGCAGTGGAGGCCGTCTTGGATTTTTGCCATGTTGCGGGGACAGACGTTTTCCACAGAAAATACTCGAATTTAACGTAACGGTATTAAAAGGTGTTGTTGTACTGGTTACACCACTCTGACACGTGATCGTATAGGCTATGTCAAAGATGACAAGAAAACTTCAGGTTGTAATATTTTTGAAATATTTAATCATCAACAACAATGAAATGTATGCTGTTAACAAAACATGCCACTAGCTTTTTGACCCCGCGGTCATCAGAACTCCAGACAAGTCATTACTTGGACTTCGAGCCCTCCAGATGAAATTAATATTTTACTTACACCTCTTTTGAGTTTTCTTTGAGTAAAGGGTATAAAAAGATTGTCATGTCTCTTTTGATGTGGGGGCTGTACTGGAACAAAAATGTTGATCTATGAGGATCAATGGACATTGGACAAGAAAAGAACTAGTCTGGACAACACCAAATTGACAACTTATCGACCTCATTACACCGAATCTAAGTGGCAAGTCTCTCTGAATTTTTGCATGCGCATCTGGATTCTAAAAGACCTGACAGGTCTCGATTTTAATGCATGTGCCACAAATATAAAGAGGTGCTATATAATCATTAGTAATTAATTGCTCATTAAACTCAAAACCGCACGCTTTTTATAGCAAGCACGTTACGGTACAATGCTAAAATCATAACAATACAGGGTGTCGTTGCAGGGGCTCAGCCAGAAATTTGAGGGGGGGGGGGGGTATAGTTTGGTCAAACCCAAAACTGGGGATCAACAGAGTGCTAAATTTGAAGCTTAGGTAGGCAATGTCACTGGGCACCCCCCCCCCCCCCCCCAAAAAACACACACACACACACACACACACACCACACACACACACATATGCGTTTGGTTGGGGATGAGAAAAAGTATTGGTGACGTGCAGCATAGCTTCGAATCCTGAGTATACAGAGCCCCCCACCCACCCTCCCTACAGTCCTATACACATGCATTTTCGAAGCACCAAAATATGAAAGTAGTAGTATTATTGGAAGATATTGGGTTATGCATGATGGCCAGCTCACTGACAGCTCTGACATCTAGACTGGCGTGAGACAGGGATGTCTACTATCACCGTTTCTCTTTATTTTGGCAGTCGACTGGCTGATGAAGGAAACCACCAGCACAGGAATGGTATACAGTGGACACCATGGACACAGTTGGACGATCTGTATTTTGCAGACGACTATGCGCTTCTGTCGCACACCCAGGAACAGATGCAAGCAAAGACTTCAGTATTAAACAGGCTATCGGAGTCTGTTGGATTGAGGATCCACCCCGGAAAGTCAAAGGTATTAAGGACAGATGCACTACGAAAGGAGCAGGTCACAATAGAAGGCAAGGCACTAGAAAACGTTGAATCCTTCTGCTATCTTGGGAGTATAATTGACAGAGAGGGAGGAACAGGTGCTGAAATAAAGTCCCGCATTGGAAAAGCACAGGCTGCTTTCATATCTTTGGATAGGATTTGGAAGACCAGAGATATCTCACTTTGAACGTCGAAGCTGAGGATTTTCAATTCAAACGTGAAGTCGGTCCTGTTGTATGGATGTGAGACATGGAACGCATCACTGACTTTCATAAAGAGGATCCAGGTTTTCTTGAACAGGTGTCTAAGAAAGATACTGAGGATCAGATGGACAGACAGGGTCACCAATGTGGAAGTTTTAAGGAAAACAAGACGGATCCCAGTCAGAGAGGAGGTAGGAAGAAGGCAGTGGCGATGGATTGGACCTACTCTCAGGAAGTCAGGAAGTCAGGCAACTGCATAACAAAGAAAGTTTTGGATTGGAACCCACAGGGTAAGAGATCAAAGGGAAGACCGCGTGGAACCTGGAGAAGAATCACAGAAATAGATGTACAGAAAAGTGGGAAGACGTGGAATAACATCAAGAGGCTAGCCCAGGATAGATAAAGGTGGAAGGTGTTTGTCCGTGGCCTATACCCCGGTGAAGGGTGAGAAAGGCAATGATGATGATGGTTATGATTATTGGAGGAAGTATTATGATCATTATTATCATTATTATTTTATTATCATTTCTGACATGTCACATTATCTCAGTAGTTAATAGTTCAGTAGTTTTAAGGCAATATTGTTTTTTTTAAATAGTTTTTTCTGGTTTGTAAATTAAATCTAACAGTGGTGATAAATGAAAAAACGACAGCAAATTGAAACACATATAATATGCGATCTCAAAGACTGTGAAGAAAGAAATTTTACGCAATGTATATTTACAAAATTATTGCCAATCTAAATAAACCCACTGTTAGGCCTACCCACTAACCACAGAACTGAAAACAACTCAGTCTTGCAGCACATGCAGTCAGTTTATTTAAAAAAAGAATAGATTTGAACCCAAAAAAAAACCCCAACTAACTCTCAACTACCGTTCTTGATCTAATAAAAAAAATCCCCGCGCAGACCGTAATAAAATAATACTGATTAGAGAAAACACCTCTGTGTATTTGTCGCATAATAATAATAATAATAATATG